ATCCTACTGGGCATCCCAGTACCCCCCATTCCCCTCTTACTGGGGGTCCCAGTACCCCTGTAACGTAGCACCCCAGTTCCCCCAGTCTCATCTGTACTGGGCCCCCCGTCCCCCTCTTACTGGGGCTCCCAGTACCGCCCGTCCCCCTCTTACTGGGGGTCCCAGTTCCCCTCTTACTGGGTGTCCCAGTCTCCATCCTACTGGGCATCCCAGTACCCCCCATTCCCCTCTTACTGGGGGTCCCAGTACCCCTGTAACGTAGCACCCCAGTTCCCCCAGTCTCATCTGTACTGGGCCCCCCGTCCCCCTCTTACTGGGGCTCCCAGTACCGCCCGTCCCCCTCTTACTGGGGGTCCCAGTTCCCCTCTTACTGGGTGTCCCAGTCTCCATCCTACTGGGCATCCCAGTACCCCCCATTCCCCTCTTACTGGGGGTCCCAGTACCCCTGTAACGTAGCACCCCAGTTCCCCCAGTCTCATCTGTACTGGGCCCCCCGTCCCCCTCTTACTGGGGCTCCCAGTACCGCCCGTCCCCCTCTTACTGGGGGTCCCAGTTCCCCTCTTACTGGGTGTCCCAGTCTCCATCCTACTGGGCATCCCAGTACCCCCCATTCCCCTCTTACTGGGGGTCCCAGTACCCCTGTAACGTAGCACCCCAGTTCCCCCAGTCTCATCTGTACTGGGCCCCCCGTCCCCCTCTTACTGGGGCTCCCAGTACCGCCCGTCCCCCTCTTACTGGGGGTCCCAGTTCCCCTCTTACTGGGTGTCCCAGTCTCCATCCTACTGGGCATCCCAGTACCCCCCATTCCCCTCTTACTGGGGGTCCCAGTACCCCTGTAACGTAGCACCCCAGTTCCCCCAGTCTCATCTGTACTGGGCCCCCCGTCCCCCTCTTACTGGGGCTCCCAGTACCGCCCGTCCCCCTCTTACTGGGGGTCCCAGTTCCCCTCTTACTGGGTGTCCCAGTCTCCATCCTACTGGGCATCCCAGTACCCCCCATTCCCCTCTTACTGGGGGTCCCAGTACCCCTGTAACGTAGCACCCCAGTTCCCCCAGTCTCATCTGTACTGGGCCCCCCGTCCCCCTCTTACTGGGGCTCCCAGTACCGCCCGTCCCCCTCTTACTGGGGGTCCCAGTTCCCCTCTTACTGGGTGTCCCAGTCTCCATCCTACTGGGCATCCCAGTACCCCCCATTCCCCTCTTACTGGGGGTCCCAGTACCCCTGTAACGTAGCACCCCAGTTCCCCCAGTCTCATCTGTACTGGGCCCCCCGTCCCCCTCTTACTGGGGCTCCCAGTACCGCCCGTCCCCCTCTTACTGGGGGTCCCAGTTCCCCTCTTACTGGGTGTCCCAGTCTCCATCCTACTGGGCATCCCAGTACCCCCCATTCCCCTCTTACTGGGGGTCCCAGTACCCCTGTAACGTAGCACCCCAGTTCCCCCAGTCTCATCTGTACTGGGCCCCCCGTCCCCCTCTTACTGGGGCTCCCAGTACCGCCCGTCCCCCTCTTACTGGGGGTCCCAGTTCCCCTCTTACTGGGTGTCCCAGTCTCCATCCTACTGGGCATCCCAGTACCCCCCATTCCCCTCTTACTGGGGGTCCCAGTACCCCTGTAACGTAGCACCCCAGTTCCCCCAGTCTCATCTGTACTGGGCCCCCCGTCCCCCTCTTACTGGGGCTCCCAGTACCGCCCGTCCCCCTCTTACTGGGGGTCCCAGTTCCCCTCTTACTGGGTGTCCCAGTCTCCATCCTACTGGGCATCCCAGTACCCCCCATTCCCCTCTTACTGGGGGTCCCAGTACCCCTGTAACGTAGCACCCCAGTTCCCCCAGTCTCATCTGTACTGGGCCCCCCGTCCCCCTCTTACTGGGGCTCCCAGTACCGCCCGTCCCCCTCTTACTGGGGGTCCCAGTTCCCCTCTTACTGGGTGTCCCAGTCTCCATCCTACTGGGCATCCCAGTACCCCCCATTCCCCTCTTACTGGGGGTCCCAGTACCCCTGTAACGTAGCACCCCAGTTCCCCCAGTCTCATCTGTACTGGGCCCCCCGTCCCCCTCTTACTGGGGCTCCCAGTACCGCCCGTCCCCCTCTTACTGGGGGTCCCAGTTCCCCTCTTACTGGGTGTCCCAGTCTCCATCCTACTGGGCATCCCAGTACCCCCCATTCCCCTCTTACTGGGGGTCCCAGTACCCCTGTAACGTAGCACCCCAGTTCCCCCAGTCTCATCTGTACTGGGCCCCCCGTCCCCCTCTTACTGGGGCTCCCAGTACCGCCCGTCCCCCTCTTACTGGGGGTCCCAGTTCCCCTCTTACTGGGTGTCCCAGTCTCCATCCTACTGGGCATCCCAGTACCCCCCATTCCCCTCTTACTGGGGGTCCCAGTACCCCTGTAACGTAGCACCCCAGTTCCCCCAGTCTCATCTGTACTGGGCCCCCCGTCCCCCTCTTACTGGGGCTCCCAGTACCGCCCGTCCCCCTCTTACTGGGGGTCCCAGTTCCCCTCTTACTGGGTGTCCCAGTCTCCATCCTACTGGGCATCCCAGTACCCCCCATTCCCCTCTTACTGGGGGTCCCAGTACCCCTGTAACGTAGCACCCCAGTTCCCCCAGTCTCATCTGTACTGGGCCCCCCGTCCCCCTCTTACTGGGGCTCCCAGTACCGCCCGTCCCCCTCTTACTGGGGGTCCCAGTTCCCCTCTTACTGGGTGTCCCAGTCTCCATCCTACTGGGCATCCCAGTACCCCCCATTCCCCTCTTACTGGGGGTCCCAGTACCCCTGTAACGTAGCACCCCAGTTCCCCCAGTCTCATCTGTACTGGGCCCCCCGTCCCCCTCTTACTGGGGCTCCCAGTACCGCCCGTCCCCCTCTTACTGGGGGTCCCAGTTCCCCTCTTACTGGGTGTCCCAGTCTCCATCCTACTGGGCATCCCAGTACCCCCCATTCCCCTCTTACTGGGGGTCCCAGTACCCCTGTAACGTAGCACCCCAGTTCCCCCAGTCTCATCTGTACTGGGCCCCCCGTCCCCCTCTTACTGGGGCTCCCAGTACCGCCCGTCCCCCTCTTACTGGGGGTCCCAGTTCCCCTCTTACTGGGTGTCCCAGTCTCCATCCTACTGGGCATCCCAGTACCCCCCATTCCCCTCTTACTGGGGGTCCCAGTACCCCTGTAACGTAGCACCCCAGTTCCCCCAGTCTCATCTGTACTGGGCCCCCCGTCCCCCTCTTACTGGGGCTCCCAGTACCGCCCGTCCCCCTCTTACTGGGGGTCCCAGTTCCCCTCTTACTGGGTGTCCCAGTCTCCATCCTACTGGGCATCCCAGTACCCCCCATTCCCCTCTTACTGGGGGTCCCAGTACCCCTGTAACGTAGCACCCCAGTTCCCCCAGTCTCATCTGTACTGGGCCCCCCGTCCCCCTCTTACTGGGGCTCCCAGTACCGCCCGTCCCCCTCTTACTGGGGGTCCCAGTTCCCCTCTTACTGGGTGTCCCAGTCTCCATCCTACTGGGCATCCCAGTACCCCCCATTCCCCTCTTACTGGGGGTCCCAGTACCCCTGTAACGTAGCACCCCAGTTCCCCCAGTCTCATCTGTACTGGGCCCCCCGTCCCCCTCTTACTGGGGCTCCCAGTACCGCCCGTCCCCCTCTTACTGGGGGTCCCAGTTCCCCTCTTACTGGGTGTCCCAGTCTCCATCCTACTGGGCATCCCAGTACCCCCCATTCCCCTCTTACTGGGGGTCCCAGTACCCCTGTAACGTAGCACCCCAGTTCCCCCAGTCTCATCTGTACTGGGCCCCCCGTCCCCCTCTTACTGGGGCTCCCAGTACCGCCCGTCCCCCTCTTACTGGGGGTCCCAGTTCCCCTCTTACTGGGTGTCCCAGTCTCCATCCTACTGGGCATCCCAGTACCCCCCATTCCCCTCTTACTGGGGGTCCCAGTACCCCTGTAACGTAGCACCCCAGTTCCCCCAGTCTCATCTGTACTGGGCCCCCCGTCCCCCTCTTACTGGGGCTCCCAGTACCGCCCGTCCCCCTCTTACTGGGGGTCCCAGTTCCCCTCTTACTGGGTGTCCCAGTCTCCATCCTACTGGGCATCCCAGTACCCCCCATTCCCCTCTTACTGGGGGTCCCAGTACCCCTGTAACGTAGCACCCCAGTTCCCCCAGTCTCATCTGTACTGGGCCCCCCGTCCCCCTCTTACTGGGGCTCCCAGTACCGCCCGTCCCCCTCTTACTGGGGGTCCCAGTTCCCCTCTTACTGGGTGTCCCAGTCTCCATCCTACTGGGCATCCCAGTACCCCCCATTCCCCTCTTACTGGGGGTCCCAGTACCCCTGTAACGTAGCACCCCAGTTCCCCCAGTCTCATCTGTACTGGGCCCCCCGTCCCCCTCTTACTGGGGCTCCCAGTACCGCCCGTCCCCCTCTTACTGGGGGTCCCAGTTCCCCTCTTACTGGGTGTCCCAGTCTCCATCCTACTGGGCATCCCAGTACCCCCCATTCCCCTCTTACTGGGGGTCCCAGTACCCCTGTAACGTAGCACCCCAGTTCCCCCAGTCTCATCTGTACTGGGCCCCCCGTCCCCCTCTTACTGGGGCTCGTCAAGGTCATCTCTTGAGGTTGGGATCCATGGGGTTGGGGTCTTCAGGATGGAGGGTGGGGGTCTCCAAGGTCAAGGTCATCTCTTGAGGTTGGGATCCATGGGGTTGGGGTCTTCAGGATGGAGGGTGGGGGTCTCCAAGGTCAAGATCATCTCTTGGGGTTGGGGTCCATGGGGTTGAGGTTCTAAAGGTCAAGGTCATCTCCCCAATACCGGGGTCCCCAAGGTCCCTGAGGTCCTCAGGGTCAAGTTCACCTCCCAACACCGAGGTCCCCAAAGCCCTTGAGATCCTTTGCGTTGAGGTCACCAACCCGTAGCGGGGTCCCCAAGCTCCTGGGGGTCAAGGTCACCTCTTGGCTTCCTCAAACCTCCTCCTCCCGACCTTGACCCCGCCCCTTTTCTCCCCCCAGGGCGAATCGAAACGCATCACCTTGGTGTTACAACAACCGCCGGGCGGTGGCGCTCCTCCCGGCCAACGCCACGTGGTATTGGGTAGTTTGCCGGGCAAAATCGTCCTTCAAGGCAACCAATTGGCCGCTCTCGGACAAGCCAAAGGGACAACGGGTCAACCCGCCAAGGTGGTCACCATCCAACTTCAAGTTCAACAACCACCCGCCGGTCAAACGGGCGCTCCTCAGAAGATCCAACTTCTTCAACAACCCGCCGGCGGCCAAACGGCGCCGGTGACCGTCTCCTCCGTGCCGCAGGTGGTGGGCGGAGCCGGGCAGAGGTTGACGGTGCCGTTGAAGGTGGTCCTCCAACCTCAGGTGAACGTCGGGGGGGGGGGGGGGGGGGGGGGCGCCCGGGGGGGGGCGCGAGG